TCAGTTTTTTTCTAACAGCAATATTAAAAAAGTTGTGACAAAAATAAAAATTTTCGATATCTCCTCGCGATTCTATTATCCTGATACAAAGTTCCGAATTCGAAAAGATCCAATTTTGTCTCAAAAATTTTCGTACCAGGATAGCAGAAACGCGACAAGGTATTTGACTTATTTTTAAATGTGAATAACTACTAAACGGCTCAAGATAGAGGCAAGCAGTAAAGGGCATTTTAAACTATCCGTCCGGCTCTACCTTTGTGTGAATTTATGGAGTAATTCGATCATTATTGACTGAGGAATTAAGAAAAAAAAGTTAACCCTTATAGCTAGGGAGCAACTGAGTTCACCCCTTAATTGTTCGTGCTTTCTTTTATATGTACCCCAAATTTCATCAAGATCGGAGACAAAAAAATTTTTTGTCAAAAAATTTGGAAGGCTATACCCTTTCGATTTTTTTGAAAAAATAAAAAGCCTTTTAAATTTGCATACGGATAGAAGATCACATGTAGATCTCAAAAATATACTCAGTTTTTTTCTAACAGCAATATTAAAAAAGTTGTGACAAAAATAAAAATTTTCGATATCTCCTCGCGTTTCTATTATCCTGATACAAAGTTCCGAATTCGAAAAGATCCAATTTTGTCTCAAAAATTTTCGTACCAGGATAGCAGAAACGCGACAAGGTATTTGACTTATTTTTAAATGTGAATAACTACTAAACGGCTCAAGATAGAGGCAAGCAGCAAAGGGCATTTTAAACTATCCGTCCGGCTCTACCTTTGTGTGAATTTATGGAGTAATTCGATAATTATTGACTGAGGAATTAAGAAAAAAAAGTTAACCCTTATAGCTAGGGAGCAACTGAGTTCACCCCTTAATTGCTCGTGCTTTCTTTCATATGTACCCCAAATTTCATCAAGATCGGAAACAAAAAAATTTTTTGTCAAAAAATTTGGAAGGCTATACCCTTTCGATTTTTTTGAAAAAATAAAAAGCCTTTTAAATTTGCATACGGATAGAAGATCACATGTAGATCTCAAAAATATACTCAGTTTTTTTCTAACAGCAATATTAAAAAAGTTGTGACAAAAATAAAAATTTTCGATATCTCCTCGCGATTCTATTATCCTGATACAAAGTTCCGAATTCGAAAAGATCCAATTTTGTCTCAAAAATTTTCGTACCAGGATAGCAGAAACGCGACAAGGTATTTGACTTATTTTTAAATGTGAATAACTACTAAACGGCTCAAGATAGAGGCAAGCAGTAAAGGGCATTTTAAACTATCCGTCCGGCTCTACCTTTGTGTGAATTTATGGAGTAATTCGATCATTATTGACTGAGGAATTAAGAAAAAAAAGTTAACCCTTATAGCTAGGGAGCAACTGAGTTCACCCCTTAATTGTTCGTGCTTTCTTTTATATGTACCCCAAATTTCATCAAGATCGGAGACAAAAAAATTTTTTGTCAAAAAATTTGGAAGGCTATACCCTTTCGATTTTTTTGAAAAAATAAAAAGCCTTTTAAATTTGCATACGGATAGAAGATCACATGTAGATCTCAAAAATATACTCAGTTTTTTTCTAACAGCAATATTAAAAAAGTTGTGACAAAAATAAAAATTTTCGATATCTCCTCGCGATTCTATTATCCTGATACAAAGTTCCGAATTCGAAAAGATCCAATTTTGTCTCAAAAATTTTCGTACCAGGATAGCAGAAACGCGACAAGGTATTTGACTTATTTTTAAATGTGAATAACTACTAAACGGCTCAAGATAGAGGCAAGCAGTAAAGGGCATTTTAAACTATCCGTCCGGCTCTACCTTTGTGTGAATTTATGGAGTAATTCGATCATTATTGACTGAGGAATTAAGAAAAAAAAGTTAACCCTTATAGCTAGGGAGCAACTGAGTTCACCCCTTAATTGTTCGTGCTTTCTTTTATATGTACCCCAAATTTCATCAAGATCGGAGACAAAAAAATTTTTTGTCAAAAAATTTGGAAGGCTATACCCTTTCGATTTTTTTGAAAAAATAAAAAGCCTTTTAAATTTGCATACGGATAGAAGATCACATGTAGATCTCAAAAATATACTCAGTTTTTTTCTAACAGCAATATTAAAAAAGTTGTGACAAAAATAAAAATTTTCGATATCTCCTCGCGTTTCTATTATCCTGATACAAAGTTCCGAATTCGAAAAGATCCAATTTTGTCTCAAAAATTTTCGTACCAGGATAGCAGAAACGCGACAAGGTATTTGACTTATTTTTAAATGTGAATAACTACTAAACGGCTCAAGATAGAGGCAAGCAGCAAAGGGCATTTTAAACTATCCGTCCGGCTCTACCTTTGTGTGAATTTATGGAGTAATTCGATAATTATTGACTGAGGAATTAAGAAAAAAAAGTTAACCCTTATAGCTAGGGAGCAACTGAGTTCACCCCTTAATTGCTCGTGCTTTCTTTTATATGTACCCCAAATTTCATCAAGATCGGAGACAAAAAAATGTTTTGTCAAAAAATTTGGAAGGCTATACCCTTTCGATTTTTTTGAAAAAATAAAAAGCCTTTTAAATTTGCATACGGATAGAAGATCACATGTAGATCTCAAAAATATACTCAGTTTTTTTCTAACAGCAATATTAAAAAAGTTGTGACAAAAATAAAAATTTTCGATATCTCCTCGCGATTCTATTATCCTGATACAAAGTTCCGAATTCGAAAAGATCCAATTTTGTCTCAAAAATTTTCGTACCAGGATAGCAGAAACGCGACAAGGTATTTGACTTATTTTTAAATGTGAATAACTACTAAACGGCTCAAGATAGAGGCAAGCAGTAAAGGGCATTTTAAACTATCCGTCCGGCTCTACCTTTGTGTGAATTTATGGAGTAATTCGATCATTATTGACTGAGGAATTAAGAAAAAAAAGTTAACCCTTATAGCTAGGGAGCAACTGAGTTCACCCCTTAATTGTTCGTGCTTTCTTTTATATGTACCCCAAATTTCATCAAGATCGGAGACAAAAAAATTTTTTGTCAAAAAATTTGGAAGGCTATACCCTTTCGATTTTTTTGAAAAAATAAAAAGCCTTTTAAATTTGCATACGGATAGAAGATCACATGTAGATCTCAAAAATATACTCAGTTTTTTTCTAACAGCAATATTAAAAAAGTTGTGACAAAAATAAAAATTTTCGATATCTCCTCGCGTTTCTATTATCCTGATACAAAGTTCCGAATTCGAAAAGATCCAATTTTGTCTCAAAAATTTTCGTACCAGGATAGCAGAAACGCGACAAGGTATTTGACTTATTTTTAAATGTGAATAACTACTAAACGGCTCAAGATAGAGGCAATCAGTAAAGGGCATTTTAAACTATCCGTCCGGCTCTACCTTTGTGTGAATTTATGGAGTAATTCGATCATTATTGACTGAGGAATTAAGAAAAAAAAGTTAACCCTTATAGCTAGGGAGCAACTGAGTTCACCCCTTAATTGCTCGTGCTTTCTTTTATATGTACCCCAAATTTCATCAAGATCGGAGACAAAAAAATTTTTTGTCAAAAAATTTGGAAGGCTATACCCTTTCGATTTTTTTGAAAAAATAAAAAGCCTTTTAAATTTGCATACGGATAGAAGATCACATGTAGATCTCAAAAATATACTCAGTTTTTTTCTAACAGCAATAATAAAAAAGTTGTGGCAAAAATAAAAATTTTCGATATCTCTTCGCGTTTCTATTATCCTGATACAAAGTTCCGAATTCGAAAAGATCCAATTTTGTCTACAAAATTTTCGTACCAGGATAGCAGAAACGCGACAAGATATTTGACTTATTTTTAAACGTGAATAACTACTAAACGACTTAAGATAGAGGCAAGCAGCAAAGGGCATTTTAAACTGTCCGTCCGGCTCTATTTTTATGTGAATTTATGGGGTAATTCGATCATTATTAACTGAGAAATTAATAATATTGTAACATTTTAATATCATTTATTGTCTTAAATTGTGTATTTTTTATTAATAAACATCTTCTTAATCGAATTCTTTTCTTTTATTTCCTAAATCAAAAGCTTTTAACCTTTCCGTTATTAAACAGTATTATAAACTTGTAATTGATGAGCAACACAGAATACACCAATGTGTAATGTTGGTTGCCTATATTTAGTTTTTAGCCATCTATTGGCAAGTAACTGTATTGTTTTATCTAGTCGCTAATAGATGGCGCTTGTAAATATAGGCAACTAGTATTACTCATCAGTGTATTCTGTGTTGCCTGTCAACTACAAAATTTCTAATATACTTAAGATAATAATTTATGGTAACGGAACTCGAAGTATTTTTAAATGTGAATAACTACTAAACGGCTTAAGATAGAGGCAAGCTGCAAAGGGCATTTTAAACTATCCGTCCGGCTCTACCTTTGTGTGAATTTATGAAATAATTCGACAAAAAAATAATAAAACAACATTGGTTATTAAATAATTTATTAATTTTATAATAATATGTAACAAATAAATAAAAATATACCACAAAACCTTTGGTCCCTACAAAGTCTTACATATTGGGCTAGGTACAGCAAGAGGTTTATTTTGTATTAAGACAGTATTTTATCAAACAAAAAAAAAAAAAACAAAATAACTACTTTCAAATAGATATTAAGTGTGGTAAAAATATTTTTTACAGGTTCATAATAATGTACACTTTCGATTAAATATATTGAGCTTTAATTAATTAAAAATGACTACTTCATTGGATAACATAATATACACAATAATTACATGGGTAGCATGAAATGTCTTGTTAACTTCGTAAATTATTAATTTTAATTCATATTTACAAATTTTAAAGTCTATAATAATGTAAGAACAAATAAATTGATAAAACTAAATAGTGTGAAGTATTTAAATCAGTCATAGTTCTTCTCTACTCTGTATATACGGTAAGACGAAAGAAAATAAAAATAACAGAACATTCCATATTACCCCTATATGTACCTATACTTTAGCAGGCCTCAAACCCTTTTTACCACCGAAATTTCTAATTGCCGACAATAACTGATCCCTAGTATCTACGACTGGCTCGATATGTCTTACAACAGGCTTCCTCAGGCTCACTTTAGGCATCATAGGCGGCGGAGGAGGATTAACCGTACTTTCAACAGGCTCTAACAATTTTTCCACACTTTCAACCTCTCTAGGTTTACTATCCGTAGTATTTGCGTTAATTTCATCATAAAGATTACTAGACGCAGTACGTCGCAGAGTACCCTGCGAAAAAGGAACCTGCGAATTTGGTACGAAGGCTTCTCTTTCCTTGGGAAGCGTTTTGAAACCTCTTACGACCGGTACAATTGTAGGTTTGAGCCGGCCGTAAAAGTTATTTTGTTGTGTGGGTTCGGCGGAACCAATTTGCGTAACAGATGTGTTACCGAAATCTTTAAAAGGCTTTTTTAGCTCCACAGATCTCACTACTGGCACTCTGGATATATCGATGTCTGATCCGAAGGCTATGGAATGTGGTCTTTGGTTCTTATTAATATCTGTGAGAGGTCTTCGATAGCCTGATGCTGTCGTATGACTGATAAACCTTTGATTATCTATAATTTTGGGTTGTGATGGAGTGCTGCCTATTTTTATCACAACATTGCCAGCTTTGCTTTCTGTCGTAGTTGTTGGTATTTCGGTACCATTCACTTTAATGCTGATACTCGGTTGCACTGACTCTACCTCGCCGTTTTTAATTTCTATACTGTTATTGCTTGTTATATTATTGTTAGTAGTGTTAACTATTAATTTCGAAGAAATATTGTTGCCTAGTTTGTAATCTTCATCTTCTTTTACTGATACTGGTACTTTTGGTCTTTCAGACCAAGTGCTCATGTTGATGGACGGAGGACCTTGGTACTTGTAAATTTTTTCTGTCGCAGCTGTTTTTTGGACAACTTCTTGAGGAGCAGCTTCTTTCTGGTGGCTGTAGGAGTTGTTGGAAGGTTCGGATTTTTCTTCGATGAAGTTAAGGTTCTCTAAAGACGAGGTGGGGGTGTTTAGCTTGCTTTGAATAAGCCGCATCACCTGAAAAATTTTGAATATTAAAATGTGTTGGTCTCATATCAATGGAGTTATCATTGTCGGTACAGTCTAAAGTAATTTCAATGGAGTAATTTATACAACAAAAATTACAATTATTTATCGATGTTTGATCAACCTCTAAAATCATTCAAAATTTCCCAAATTTAATTTCGACTTGGAAAAAATTGTAAATCAAAATAACGACACAATCTAGATGTACAATGGTTTCGTATTATGTTTCGTCGTTTGAATACACTCTGAAATAATTTAACGCAAAGTATTTAAAACTTCAATTTCCAAGTCGAATTTCGATTTGAAAAAAATATTCAAACGACAGAAAGGCATAATAAAAAATCAAAAAAAGTTTAGGATTATATTTCGACCTAAATCAAACGCACATAATAATAGAAGAAAATATAGAAACTGTATAAGCCTAGAGAAGGATTTCAAACTTAAATACGATTTAATTAAATTAAAAAATAACATTATCGAAAATATAATAACAGATTTATTATTGACAAAGATGTCCAGAAAGTAGTAGAATTAAGATATCCTGATAAATAAGTAAAAAAACACTTAAAAAGGATAAGAGAAGAGTAATAGAAAATGTATAGGATGGGTACTGGAACTAGACTGAAGAAAACCTATTTTAAATGTTTATTAATTACCTCATACACACTGATGATTAAATAGAATATTAGATTTATCATTAAATTCTTAATTAAGGCAAATAAAAAAAAAAACACCCACGAATAGTTAAATATTTTACATCACAACAATATTACAACAGCTTGTTTATGTAGAATAACAAAAGAATTGGACGTGTTTTTTTAAAACTTATTAAAACGGAACGATGATAAATATAAAAAAAAATAATTAGTATAAAAATATGATCGTTAGATCGATACCTAGTGTACCGAGTCGATTGTGTTTTAATATTGGAATAAAACGTTAATTAATATACAGGGTTATATTATGCAAAAACGGCAGCTAGACAATTTAACGTTGCTCATCCCAGTAAAATTGCTACAAAAATTGTGTGACATCGATCCAACAGAAGAAGCAACATTTCGCAGGTGTCGAGAAGAAGAAGATGAAACATCAATCTACTTCCTATCTAGCTAGATTGAGGTTTGCAATATTAGGTAAAGAAAAGCTAGATGCATGTAGTAACATGCGAGAACCACTACGAAAGTTACTAAGTCTAATAAAAAAGACCAAGCTGGATGATAGATATACTATAAAACTGTAAACAACGAAGTCCGGCGATAGGTAGGACGCGGTGGACGAGGACAAATAATATTCAACTTCTTTGAAATCTAATCTAATCCAGGAAAACTATTACTAGCCAAAAGAACTACTTAGGAAATAGAAAAAAATTTTTGAAAGACACACTGGCATAATACGAAAAATGTTTTCAGACACTCTAAACTATTTAAATGCTTTCATGTTTATTTACGAAGTGACAAAATTAGACTATCATTACAAAGCCCTTATATTGAATGTTATTTAGTTTTAAAATGAACAAAACAAAACATTAATTAAAAACAAACGAGAGACAGTTATCAACAACTAAAAACCATTTTAATAACTAATACTAGCAAGTCGTGTTTTTTGTGTACTATTTGCAATTGGGTATAGAGAAGAAGGGTGAACAACGTGAACTATGTCCTGATGATGAAAGCTGTCGTGTAACCTGTCAAATTCGAGGAAATAGATGAAAAATCGGAACTGAAAGTGGTTTAGTTGTTCTCAAAATGTTTGCATGACTCTCAACTATAGTCTATTTTTATGTATGAGAGAGTAATAAAACAGCATTTCTAATGCAAAACTTAGTACGGTCATTTTAAATATTTTTACAGAATAATCTAAATATTTCCTAAAAATGTAATAAATGTACCTGAGCTATTACAAGTTTTGGGTCTTTTATTGATCCTTTATAAACATAAGCTGTACAGAACAATAGAAAAAGGTTTGGACAGGCCAAAAGCCCTGTGTATTAAAGATTACATAGCCGTATCTTAAGATTATTTTCAATAAGTTCCTATTTGCCAATTTTGTTTTATTTTAATTCCAAGAATTTCTTACAGTGATCGAATTATAAGTAGATAAATACCTTCCCAACAAATTTCACCGAAAATGCGATTATAGGTTTCCCATTTAGTAGGGAGGTCCAAGTTGTGTATTCTTGACAGTTTACTAAATGTCGTTAAGTTGCAACTTGCAAGGTGCAGTGTGAATTCTAGTGTGATCATGGAAAATTTGGAAGGACCGCGTAAACGACAAAAAATCGGTCCTTTAACAGTTAATGAAAAAACATTAATATTTAATTGTTTTAAATCATTTACAGACAAACATTTATGTAAAAGTGTTGATGACACAGTGGAATTAGTTAGTAGTACGCTTGGTGTTGGGAAATCTACGATTTACAGAGTTGTTAAAGAAGAGAAATGTGGCGAGTTTCAAACAGCACGTGAAGCTCCAGGAAAACCAAAATTTCAATTAGAAAATCTTTTGAAAGAAAGACTTCGAAGGAAAGTGCATACTTTCTTCTTTAGAAAAGAATTTCCGACAGTAGACAAAGTTCTTGCCACCGTTCGAGATGATAAGGATTACCCTGAAATGAGTCGAAGCACACTATGGAAACTTTTAAAAGAAATAGGTTTTCTATGGAAAAAGCATTCCAGAAAGTCTATTTTAATAGAAAGAAGCAATATTGTAGAATGGAGAAGAAATTACCTAAAGACTATAAAAGAAATGAGAAACCAAAGAAGAAATATATTTTATTTAGATGAAATATGGATCAACGAGGGACATTAACCAAATAAATTTTGGCAAGATGAAACTGTTACAAGTCGAAGACAGGCTTTTTTAAATAATTTATCTACTGGTTTAAATCCACCATCAGGAAAGGGGCGCAGACTAATAATAGTACACATCGGTAGTTCAAACGGTTTTGTTAAAGGTGGTTTATTGACTTTTGAATCTACTCGTACCGGTGACTTCCATGAGAACATGAATGCTGATGTCTTTAAAGAATGGTTCGAACAAATTATAGATCTTCTTCCTCAGAACTGTATAATAGTAATGGATAATGCAAGTTATCACTCGAGACTTATAGAAAAAATGCCCACAACCAAGTGGTTAAAAAAAGATTTACAGAATTGGCTAAATTCAAAGAATATTAAGTTCCATCCCGGTTCTGTGAGAAAAGAACTGTATCATTTGTGTTCCCTTCATAAAGAGAAATTCAAAAAAATATGAAATTGATGAAATTGCAAAAAATCGTGGGATGACGGTGGTTAGATCACCACCATATCATTGCGAAGTAAATAAACCCGATTGAACTGATATGGGCACAGATAAAGGGAGAAGTTTCAAGAAAAAATAATTCTTTTAAAATGAGTGATGTTAAACAGTTGTTTTTAGAGGCAGACAGTTTTTTGGGAAAAGGCAGTAAATCATACGATTAAAGAAGAAGAGAAAATGTGGAAGTTGGACAATATTACTGATGAAATGATCGAGCCACTCATTGTAAATATTGGTTGTGACAGTTCATCTTCTGATTTCGATTCTGATTTGGATTTGTAGGTAAGTAGTTTTTATATTAAAATTATTATTTATGAACGTAACGTTGTTTAAAAGTCAAAGTTTAAACCCTTATACCTACATAACCCGTTTGACACAATGTTCTTAACATACCTTGTGGAAAAATAAAACATTTTAGAAAAAATTGCACTTTTTTACCTTCAGCTGTTTAGAAGTTATAAGCAGGTTAATTAGGTGAAAATATAAGTGTATACTCGAGGAATAACTTCAAAAAATATTTTAACTGTCTACTAAAAGAAGTGATACGCCTATGGATTACGAACGCTTTATTATTTTAATACTCTCCCATACATAAAAATAGACTATAGTAGAGAGTCACACAAACATTTTGATAGTAATTAAACCACTTTTCAACGTTTTGTTTCAATTTTACACCTATTTTAAGGTTTTAATTTTATGTTTGCATATCAAACCTTTTGCGGGCATAAAAAAATACTTGGAATGTCATTATAAGGTCAGAAAATCAGAAAAACCGCGTTTAAGCTAGGTATATCCCGAATTTTGTTGAGAAACACGTAGCCGAAATTCTTACACCGGAATTAGCAAAACCGTACGACAGAAAATGCTTGCAAAGCGATTCTTTTAATTGTTATAGGGGTCTATTCTGTAGCAATTCCTTTATATTTAACGGTCTTTAAAAATATTTTCTTCTTTACTTCTGTCATTATTTAAACGGATCTTTAAAATACATTGGAAGACTATCTTAAAGAAATCTGTTTAAATAATGACAGAAGTAAATTAACGAATCCGATCATATTTTTAAAGGCCGCCAACATTTTTAAAGGCCGTTAAATATAAAGGAATTGTTACAGAATAGACCCCATAGTCGTCTAGAAGCATATTTTATTGCCACAAAAAAAAACAAATAATAGCAAGCAAAAATACAACATATCACTTCTTGCAATCATATAAGAGACTATTATAATCAATTGGCGATAGTAGATGATACAAAATATGTTAAATTATAGTAATTTAAACCATTTTAAATAATATTTAAGATATTTATAAAAAGAAGAGTAGTGTGGACTATTTTCCACAAAATTTGAACATATGTTTATCTGGGATTAAATACAAGGTGGCGCAAAATTAAGTACCCTATGGAATGTTGTCATGGTTTCGTTTGTAGTTGACATCTGTTCGAGTTTTTCTGTCAGTTGCTAAGTAGATACTTGGGAAATTCATTACGAATCGATATACGCCTCGAGAACGTGCCGAAATCGTAAAAAAATTTTATCAAAATAATTCTTTGATTATTAGAATTTTTCCTGGACGCCTTATCTCGAAAAACGCCGATATTGCATATCCGCCAAGGTCTCCCGATTTAACTATTGGTTATGGGGTTATCTCAAAGATAAGGTATTTGTAAACAATCCTCGAACACTAGAAGCATTAAAAGACAACATCCGGGAAGAAATTGACAGAATACCACCTGAAATGTTGGAGAAAGTTATGAAAAATGCTTTAAAAAAGCTCATTATTGCATTAATGGGGGGGGGGGGGGGCATTTGGTCGATATTGTTTTTAGTGTGTAACAAAACAAATTTTTAGAGTTTAAATGAATATTTTTCATTTATAATATGACCCCAGACAGCACACCAAATCCTTTGGATATCTACTGAACATCCCAATATCCACTGAATGTCCAGTCCATGGTGGATATCTATTTTATATCCATGAGTATGAGATGTAATTTATAGACATGCAAATGTCCATAAATAATAGTAATTATATAGCAAATTATTAAAAAATTACGCCATTGTGCTCGCCATTATGGCTAATAGTACCGTTCAGATATTTAAAATTAATTTTTTTGAGGTGTATTCAATATCCCATGGACATCCACTAAATATATCAAAGTCTAGGCGCGAACGCAAACCATCGTGGATATCCATTAGATGTTATTTGATTTTGCTTACTAAGTATAGATGGCGATACCACTTTCGCATCTATTCATGCTTGACCAGCCGTAATTGAGTTCGATCGAAATTTGTTTTCCGATCAGACTCCATTAGAGACTGGAGTCGAGAATTTCCATTTATTGCTGAAGAGTCCTAACAAGGACGACTTTCTCCTTAGTGGGCAAAATCAAAGGCAAAGTGTTGAAAATATTTTTTTTCTGCTATTTTCTTTCGACGTTATTCAATAAATATTGGTTACTTTTATGAATCTCTACTAAAGATACCCATAAAATATTTTGCTGTATATCCGAATTCTTCTATATCCTGGGATATAGACGGACATTTGGTTGGATATCCATATTGGATATCTACAAAATATATTCTGTGGATATCTCTGGGATTTCTCGTATTGTCTGGAAGATACCCATTAGATATTTCGCTGGATAATCCATAGGATATCTTCTATATTCTGGATATCCTGTGGATATATTGACAAAAGATATTCTGTGGATATCTCTGGAATTTGGTGTGTTGTCTGGGACTGTTTTTTAATTAATCTTACTTTTATATAAAAAACAAATAGGGGACTTTATTTTGCGCCACCTTGTATAAAAACCTTAACACACACTCAAACAACACTTACCCCTAAGCTTTGAAGACCGGATATATCGTACAAGCTGTTACTTCTTTCTATGCCCTTTTTTCCATTAGTCTGCTTTTCTACTTTATGCTTGTTAGTACCATTAAGCGTCAAATACGACCTCGACCTTGACACAAGCTTCCCCGGAGACCAAGCTGTTTCAGTATTAAAAGATTCGGTATTAAAACCACCCGTAGATGGTCCGTAATTTTTAGCTATAATAGGCCCATTTTCAGCTCTATAGAACGTGTATTCTCTTTCACCGGTTTTGTTATCGATGCTGTTTTTTCTTATGGATATATTTTCCATAGATGATGCTGCGTAATATCTGTTTAATTGGGAATAAGTCTTATTTGTGGCGTAGCTGTTTTGACTGCTTCTGATTGTATCATCTTCGAATACTTTAATCTTCTCTTTGGGTCTATCGTAAGTCGATATTTTGAAGTTAGGTAAAGTGTGTGTAGTCTTTTGAACATATTTAGGTTTACTAATTTCTTTATGACTAGATTTTTGCACTTCTATGAAAGTGGTTTCGAATTTATTTAAAGAATTAGTGTAAGGATCCATTCTATCTTCATCGGATACTTTCAGGCTTGTAGACAATTCCCTGTTGTAAACCAAGGATTTTCTTTTTTCTAAATGTTCTAATGATAGAGTATTTAAAGGGGGTTCATCTCCAACGAACGTAGCTACTGATTGGGTATCGAAAGTTGTTGTCGATCTCGTATCAATAGGTTTTTCTTTTTCGAATAATTCTGGTGATGTTACAACAGAATCTTTGAAGTCTGTAATTGTACTTTCGTCGTTTATAACAGGACTCGTGTCTCTAAATGCTTTTGGAGGAGACGGTAGCTGATATTGCCAGTCTATTTCATAAAGATCTGAACTTTCTTTAGATACTTCATTGGTACGTTCAATTTCTTTAGTTTGTACAACTTCTTTTGAAGATTCTTCTTCGATTACGGGATCTAAATCGTTTATTTCTACTTTTTCTTGCAACCTTTCTTCGTTCTTCGTTTCTTCTTCAATGGGAGGTTCGTCTAGAAATAATGGTGGAGGTGGAGGTGTTATTGGTCGACAGTCTTCAGTTTCTGATAGCTTTTCGTTGGTTTCTTGAGCAATGCCGCTGTCTGTTGAACCGAAGGGTTTAGCGACCTCAATATTCTCTGATAAAGTGTGAATTTGACTATCTAAGCTATCGAGAGCTTGGTGGGAAGCTAGGGATTCTGAAAAAATAAAGTTTCATGTAATAATAATGTAGAATATCGTTGTTCTACACGAAATACAACTAAATGATTTATTTACCAAAGATAAATTAAAATGAAATTTGAAACTTATCTTATCTAAACGTGTTTTTAGTTAAAATGACTATTTAAATATTCTCAGAATGTAATTTTTCCTTATTTAATGTATATTGGGAAAGAAAATACATTTTTTACTTAGGTATTATCAAAACGTTCTTTAAAAATAATTTCTAACCGATTAAAAAAAACAATATCAATAATCCTAGAGGTAGAAAAACTAAAAAATATACATTAAAAAAAGGTAAAATGATTTAGAGATTTTTGGAATTGAAAAAAAAAAAAAAAAATATGAAAGAACAAAAGAAAAGCTAATCAATGAAAATATTTATGGAAATATATATTAAAAAGATGCAAATTCAACTTGAAAAAACGTCATTTTGATTTAGATTTCAGAATAGGGAAAAAAGTTATAAAGAACAAAAGAAAAGCTAATAAATTAAAAGATTTATGGAAAACTTGAAGGAATTGAAATAGGAGACCTAATAATAGGAAATATATATTAGAAAGATGCAAATTCAAATTGAAAACACGTAATTTGGATTTTCAGAATTGATAAATGATTAAGGAAAAACTTGAAGGTATTGAAATAGGAGAAAATATAATGGGATAGGCTTAAAAAAATAGTGACACTAATAATTGTTCTTTTTCCCCACAATATAATGATGAATTAGATATTAATATAGTAACAAAACCTAAGATATTAAAGGCAAAAAATTGTCTAATCTACCCTACCAGTTGGCGAACTTCTATTAAAAAAAAACTACACTAAAAAAATAACTCACTATCCATATTTTCTACAGATGTATAACTGAAAAACTAAAATATTAAATACAATTACTTAAATCATGTTAATTTGACTATCTACCACTAATCTACATGTATGTATTGACAGACACTACCCAAATTCCAAAAAAACAAAACGTAATGAGTCAGATCCATGAAATATTGCATATTGCCGTTATCTGAGTAATATTTTTAATGGTACGAATGATACCAGTACCTACACGATGGAAAAGGTATGTAATAATATCACCTAACGAGTTTTTATACAAATTACAACTCATTTTAAATATTTTCCTCGTTTAAAAATAATAATTGCAGGTCAGGATTTTCTTTTGTTGATAGAAAGTATTTTTATAATGTATCAGTACTACTTATAATAAAAAAGAAAGATATGTAAAGAGGTTACTCAAAGAGTAACTCTTTTTTAGACTTAGCTACCCCTAGAGTCCGATGTTTGTTGTTTAATCATTTGGAGTGCAATAACTGCATCGAAAGTGTTTCTAAAGTCAATGAATTGGCACGTATTTATCTACTATATTAGGATCTATTTTTTTGTATCGCATTTATTATTGTTTGGCGAAATTATGTCATTTTTGCGCTTTTCACTTCTTATTTATTATTTATCATTTATTTTATACCTCTTGTCTGATTGATTAGCATGTCCGGCAAACCACTCTGCCTATCAATCAGAAAAATCTTATGAGTCTGCTCTGCATCATCTTGTAACCAAGATAAACGGGGGACTCAGTAGCCAAGAAATAGTCCTAGGAGCATTTCTTGACATAGAAGGAGCTTTTGATAATACCTCCTTTAAATTAATGGTAGCTGCCACTCGCAAATATGAAATAGAAGACACCATCTGCTGGTGGATAGAAGATATGTTACGCGGGCGCAAGTACAGGCACAAATGTTCAGTGAAACTATGTAGGTTAATATCCACAGGGTGGAGTACTTTCTCCTCTACTGTGGAACCTAGTGGCAAATGAACTGCTGAAAACATTGAAACACTGAACAGTCTTTGAACTCATGAAAAGATCTCTGAAGCTGACAGAATTGTGGTGCGTTAGAGAAAATCTCTTGGTAAACCCTGACAAACATAAACTTTACTCGGAAAACTCTGTTAGGTGGAAGGCTAAACAAAACGAATCAAGTAAATAAAATATCTGGGTCTAATCCTAGATAGCAAACTTACTTGGAACCAACATTTACAAAACGTAACTAACAAATGTAAAATGTCTATCATTGTAGGGAGACGGGCTTTTGGAAAACATGGGGATTAAAACTAAAAATGGTTCACTGGCTATATTTGGCAATAATAAGACCCATGATAACTTATAGAGCAGTTGTTTCGTGGCCAAAAGTAAACCAGAAAATAGCCCTTAATACCCTCTCAGGAGTTCAGCTTCTATGGAAATTATTCTAAACCTCCCACACCTTGACCTAGTCATAAAAGGGGAGGTCAGAATGAGTGCATAGAGACTGGAAATCTCCAACAACTGGAACCCACTGGGCAGGCGCGGATACAAGAAGGAGGTAATAGGGCAATAACCACCCCCGAGCTGCTCGAAAAAATCCAGGAATTTATTAAATTGTAATCTAAAATCAACGAGATTTTACGAGAAAGCAAAAAAACAAGATGACGGTGACGAATGAAGAATAGAGAAGCACAGGTTGGCGTACAGTATTTTTTGTTAATTTTTAAATAAACGAATTATTTTTTGGTAAAATTATCTACCCCCTCCGAAAAATCTTCCCAGATCCAAGGAGATAGATAAATACTTGCTTAGCGGTCTCGTGTGATATACGGATGGATCTAAAACTAACAAGGGAATAGGCTCTGGCGTACATGAAGTTAAACACAAATGCGTCATCATCGTCTCACTGGGAAAACATACTGCTGCATTTCAGGCTGAAATACATGCAATCGAATTGTGTGTACGAGAGAATTTAAGAAGGAAGTACGAAAAACAAACCATTCTAATTCTCTCAGATAGCCTAGCAGCCTTAAAGGCTCTTGATTCAAACATAATCAAGTCAAAGCTTGTCTGGAACTGCCTTGGAATACTAAATGATCTGACAACCCACAACAAGGTAAAACTAGCGTGGATACCAAGGCACAAAGGTATCCAAGGAAATCAAAAGGCTGATGAACTCGCCAAAGAAGGATCAGATCTACCATTTATAGGACCCGAACCTGTATTTGGGATAAGCAAAACCTCTGCTTGACAAGCAGTGAACAGGTGGATAATCAGGACACAGAACCAGTAAGCTCATGCTAAGTGGACCAAACCCACGCACGCACTACAACCCGCAAAGTCACAGATATCCACCATTGTGGGATTACTAACGGGGCACTGCTTGCTGAAACACCTTCATGTGATGATATTACACAATGGAAGAGGAAGATATTTCATCCTTTTCGGCCTAGAACCGGAAAGAACGCCCCAGGAATACTTGGTAGGGAACTTATTAAAAATAACCAAAGACACAGGACTATGTCAAAGATATAGTACCTGAATACAGGGAAAGCAGGGGAATACAATAGACCCAAGAGGCCGCAGTGTTCTGGGCCAAACCTAACCCTACCTGCTTACAATCGACAAAGAGAAGAATACCTCTTGTCACCTACAATTAACTTATAGAAAGCAGTTTTTTGTATTTATTCATTGTTGGAAATATATCTAACATGTTCTGAACTAGAGCCCGACCCTTAAAAATTAATTTCATAGTTGATTAATTACAATATATCTCTCTTTCGCAAGCCAAACTGCAAGCGCTATAAATTCTAACGTAAGCATGACGTAACAGTTTTAGAATGAATATAAGTAGCCAAGCTAAGCTGGCAAATCAACAGATTGTATCTTAGTTCAGTAACTGAAGGGACCAACCTGTTATTAAGTTGATCCAGATTTCCGTTGTGGCTCAACTCTTAGGTATCGGCGGTCGCTTCCAAGGTCGAAAACTTATACCAACTCTGCTGCGTCGGAAAGGGCTCAAAATGGACCCTAAAACTAGTTTCCCGCCAATATCTTCCACAATGTGCAAATTAGAGAATTTTTGTTTAGAGAAAAAGAAAGATCTTATCATTATCTACAAAAATGGTCCCTATCATTTTTGTCGGGAATTCGACAGATTTCGAGATAACCGCAATCAAAAGTTCCCTCGTTCAGTCCCTGCTTTATCTCTATAGCAATGCTGATTAGCTTGTAAACGGGTGGACAAATTGTTTCAGAACTCGGTCAAAAATTGATATTTTTCGATGATTCAAAGTTCATTACAATGGGAAAACCCATAGATATCGATCCATGTGCCTTGAAGACCGTTATTTTCTGTCAGGAACATTGAAAAAGGGGTCAAAGCTGCGTTTTCCCACTATTTTGGACCACTTTATAGTAATTCATTCATATTTTTTTCTTTTAATAGTTTTTTATCCCATTTTTGTTTTAAATGGGATCTTGAGATGTCTCGAATATTCTCAGTAATTTTTTTCCAGTATCTTCCTGGCGTTTTAAAACAAAATTGATTTGTTTATTTGCATTTTTCATACGTTTTTGGAGTTCTAGAAATCTCTGAAGAATAATAATAATATAATAATAATGTGTTTATTAGCCAAAAAAAATACAGAAATTTACAACTAAGAGTCAATAATAATTTTCTAACAAACAAAAGACAAAGCCACAGACGGAGAATTTTAAAAATTCTACTTGTGCGTGGCACGAAATAATAAAGGTAATTAATTACGTAAATATAAATAAATCGGTATAAATAAATGTCTAAATCGGTATACATGTCTAAATCGGTATACATGTCTAAATCTATAAATATATGTATATGTCTAAATCGGTATATAAATTTAAATTGATATTGTAAATTGATACACTACTTTAGACCAATATGTAAGTAAAATATATATAAGAGTAAATAATAAATAATTCGTATGTAAGTATTATTTTGTTTATACACATAATTTTTTGAATATACTTTTATTTTCTTTGGATGAATTTATTTTTGATTTATTAGGTTTGTTCCAACACAACAGCAAATCGGTTTCCATACTGACGGGATTCTGCGCAGTCTAGATTTGATGTTCCAACAAACTTCGGACCACATACTTTATTTTACTATACGGAGAATGGTCGCACTGCGCAGCTTTCTGAGTGTCTTTTAAAAGGAGATAGAAAACTCCGCCATTTTTAACCCTTATTACGTGTTGCCTACCTCTTGGCGCAATATTTTTAATAGGTGCGTTTTAATCATCCGCTTCTGCTCGGAATTGTCAGTTTTCTTGTTTTAATCTGACAGGTTAAAACGACTAAACCGACAATTCCGGAAGCAGAAGTGGATGATTAAAACGCACCTGATATTTTGCTTGCTGCTGTCAGTGTCAGTGAATATTATTTTGAGGTCACAGTTTATTGCTAAAGAATCAGTTAGCTCACTCGGACCAGTTGAAAGTTCCAAAATAACATCCACTCCAGGGATACAAATTCAGGATATGCAGAAGACTGCTGTTTTATTACAGGCGGTTGTCATATATTGTATTATCCGAGTTGCACAGTGTATAAACTGAAACATTGAAATCCAAAGTGCCGACGCAGAGTGAGCGATCTGATTCTTTAGCTGTAAACTGTGTCACAGGGTTCAAAATGGCTGCGCCCTATGTTGGGCGTGTCGGACCTCTCTCTTGCCTCGTATAGTAATCAAAGTATGTGCCCTAACCTTAGACACCGGTGTCACTTACCGTAATTAAAATGCGGTGAGTCGGTTACTAACCGGTAAGTTATTCCGGTTAGTTACCGGTGAGGAGATTTGCGCGTTCAACAGAAATTTATGTACCGGTGAGCTAACCGGTGAGTCTGCTGTATGCGACCATTAACAGAGTGTGTTTGACAACACAAAAATGTGTTCCAACACATCCAAGTTTCGAATCGCGTCCCAATCCTCGACAGGTCGTCGACAATAAGTTGTGGACTGGTTTATGTATGGTCCCAAAATTGTTGTTGGAACAAACCTAGTTCTCAATATTTGACCTGGATTGACATAAAATCCATTTTTTAAGATTCTTTTTAAAAGAATAAAGACTTTTCTCTTTTTGTATTTCGATAGGAATGAAATTATAAATTCGAGGAGCCAAATATGAAGAAGATCTACAACCTATTAATTTGTTTTTTCGGGGTAAGTAATATTTATTTCCTTTATTTCTAATTTGGTGCAGATGTCTGGTTTTATCGAGTTTAGTCTTCCCCTTATATATATTTATCGCTATTTTCCAAAAATAAAGTTGTCTAAGGTCAAATACCTTTTGTTCTGAAAATAAAATATCGCTTGGATAATTTCTCGATTTGTTGTGGATTATCTTTAATATCAATTTTTGTATTATATTTAGATTTTTTAGATAAATATTATAAACGCCACTTCACCCTAGTATACCACAACTCAGTTGAGATTGAACTAAAGAGAAATAAAGAGTGCGCAAGTGTTTTTTGTCTAAAATGTCCCTTAAATATTTAAATCTAGATAATAAACCTCTAATTTTGTTTACAACATTTTTTATTTGTAGATCCCATTTGAAATGCTGATCGATGATAATGCCTAAATATTTTATATTTTCAACTTGTGGAATGGTTATGTTGTCAACATTTAAGGTTCCGAAGTGCGGTAGGTAATTATTGTAAGACGTGAAAGTAATAAATTTAGTTTTTTTATAATTAACTGTTAATGTATTTAATTGAAACCATTTAGTTATTGTTTTAAACTCCATTTCTGCTTGTTCTTTAAGCTTACTCCATGAATTATCACTATAGACGATAGCAGTATCGTCAGCAAAACTGATCACTTTACCTTTTAATTCAAGTTCTAAAAGGCTATTTATGTATAGAGAAAAGAGTAAAGGACCAAGTACAGTACCTTGAGGTACACCATAGTTAATGGATTTTAGGGAACTTACAGTATTACCTAATTGAACACACTGAAATCTGTTAGTTAGATATGATTTTAATAAATCATAGATTTTTCCTCGTAAACAAGCAGTAATTAAAAATTCATATTTCATTATATTGTTATTCAATGCACACCATTTTAAAAAAATACATTCGAAAAGTAGACACTCTAAGCTTTAAAATGGTGTGCATTGAATAACAATATAATGAAATATGAGTTTTTAATTACTGCTTGTTTCAAAGATTTCTAGAACTCCGAAAACGTATGAAAAATGCAAATAAACAAAAAATATGAATGAATTACTATAAAGTGGTCCAAAATAGTGGGAAAACGCAACTTTGACCCCCTTTTCAATGTTCTTGACAGGAAATAACGGGCTTCACGGCACATGTATCGATACCTATGGGTTTTCCCATTGTAATGAACTTTGAATCATCGAAAAATATCAATTTTTGACCGAGTTCTGAAACAATTTGTCCACCCGTTTACAAACTAATCAGCATTGCTATAGAAATAAAGCAGGGGCTGAACGAGGGGACTTTTTATTGCGATTATCTCGAAACCTGTCGAATTCCCGACAAAAATGATAGGGACCATTTTTGTAGATAATGATAAGATCTTTCTTTTTTATCTAAACAAAAATTCTCTAATTTGCATATTGTGGAAGATATTAGCGGGAAACCAGTTTTAGGGACCGTTTTGAGCCCTTTCCGACCCAGCAGTGTTGGTAAAAGTTTTCGCCCTTGAAAGCAACCGTCAAGACCTAAGAATTGAGCCACAAAGGAAATCTGGACCGACTTAATGACAGCTTTGCATATTTTCAGGTCTTCAGTTACTGGACTATCTGTAATTCTCTAGTGTCGATTTTGAATAAATAAATACCTAGCAATATGCAATATTATCACAGACATAGAAAAGACAGAACAATTATTACTAAAAGAAAATGGCACATGCCTGTTTCCGATTCACCAATCACCCATCTACTATTAGGATCCCGACAACTCAAACACATATCATCCAGATCTTCAAAATTATTCCATTTGCTCATGCCAGTACTGTTCAAAAATCCCGGTAAACTTCTCAAACTTCTTAAACTACTTATCGAATGTTTCTTATCGAATTGGACATCGTCGAGTTTATGGATACCGTACAGTTCGTTGAAAACTTCGTCTCTTAGCGAGAAGTTCTTGTTCGAAGATATCGAACCGGAGAACACTTTGTCGTCTAGATCTGAAAACTCGTCTATGAAATTGAATGTGCCCAAGGCTGAGGCTACTGATGTTTGCGAAGATAATGATTCTGTATGTGTACTTGTGGAGTCGTCTTCGAAAGAATTAGTTATGGAGGATTTTTGGAAACGTCTTTTACCAAAACTGTCGTATTTGTTGCTTGTTTTGTCTTTGGGAGTCTTGGGAATCACACCGACAATTTCAGGTAATTTTTTTTCTGATAACTGAATAGATTCTTCTGTTTCTTTGTTATGATTAGAATCTTTTATTTCTACTAGATGTAATTCTTCAGTGTTAGTATCTATTTTTGTTTTTTCCGTTAAAGGTTTTGAATTATCTTTGGTATGTTCTAACTTTGTAATAAATTGTTCAGAATTGAATATATTTTGATGTGATTGTTTTTGTAATTCTAATATTTTATCGTAAATATTTTCTTTTTTAATTTCTTCTTTTAGTTCAACATTATTATTATTGTTATCTGTTTTATTGATGTTGTTATTTGAATCGCCGTTTGTAGATATTTGTTTTGATTCTGAGGTATCTTCTACAATTTCTTTGCACACTTCTTTTATAATCTCATCAATTACTACATCATTTCTAACTTCATTAGCCTTTGTACATGGTTTTTCTCGAATTGTATCTATTTTATTTGGTGTAGCTAAAATTTCTTCTTCTTCTATGGACTGGATCCTATTCGAAGTAATTATTTCACTTTTGGGACGTACTTGGGGTGCCTGAGGAGCCTTAGGTTTACATCTAGGAAGGGGTTTTGGGGCGGTTTGTGCAACTAGGGTATCCAGCGGTGTACTATGAGTAGCTATCATGCAAAATACAAAGCGTTATTAGTTATTGTTAGTTTACCTTCTACCATTAATATTTATTTACCGGAAATTATGTACAAGGAAGAAAGGAAGTTCAAATTTATCCAAATTTGGTATTTTTTCGGATTATTTTTCCCATTAAAAAGCTTTACTTGAAGGTTAAGAATGGATATATTTTTGTTTATAAGCACCACTTTCCTGATTGTCAAAAAATAAGAATACTATGCTGGGTGGGCCACCAGTAACGTTTCGGTCTGTAGAACCAGTACAATTATACAGGGTTCCCAAAGAAAGTGATAAATATTAAAGATATATTTTTTTATGAAATTATATTTAAATTGCTGTTCAAACAGATTAAAAAGCAATGAACAGTTATGGCTCTAGACTAATTATAGTCTATTTTTATGTATGAGAGAGTAATAAAACAGCATATCTAATGCAAAACTTAGTACGGTCATTTTAAATATTTTTACAGAATAATCTAAATATTTCCTAAAATTGTAATAAATGTACCTGAGCTATTACAAGCTTTGGGTCTTTTATTGGTCCTTTATAAACATAAGCTGTACAGAACAATATAAGAAGGTTTGGACAGACCAAAAGCCCTGTGCATTAAAGATTACATAGCCGTATCTTAAGATTATTTTCAATAAGTACCTATTTGCCAATTTTGTTTTATTTTAATTCCAAGAATTTCTTACAGTAATCGAATTATAAGTAGATAAATACCTTCATAACAAATTTCACCGAAAATGCGATTATAGGTTTCCATTTAGTAAGTTGTGTATTCTAGTGTGATCATGGAAAATTTGGAAGGGCCGCGTAAAAGACAAAAAATCGGTCCTTTAACATTTAATGAAAAAACATTAATATTTAATTGTTTTAAATCATTTACAGACAAACAATTATGTAAAAGTGTTGATGACACAGTGGAATTAGTTAGTAGTACGCTTGGTGTTGGGAAATCTACGATTTACAGAGTTGTTAAAGAAGAGAAATGTGGCGAGTTTCAAACAGCACGTAAAGCTCCAGGAGAACCAAAATTTCAATTAGAAAATCTTTTGAAAGAAAGACTTCGAAGGAAAGTGCATGCGTTCTTCTTTAGAAAATAATTTCCGACAGTAGACAAAATTCTTGCCACGGTTCGAGATGATAAGGATTACCCTGAAATGAGTCGAAGCACACTATGGAAACTTTTGAAAGAAATAGGTTTTCTATGGAAAAAGCATTCCAGAAAGTCTATTTTAATAGAAAGAAGCGATATTGTAGTATGGAGAAGAAATTACCTAAGGACTATAAAAGAAATGAGAAACCAAAGAAGAAATATATTTTATTTAGATGAAACATGGATCAACGAGGGACATAAAGCAAATAAATTTTGGCAAGATGAAACTGTTACAAGTCGTAGACAGGCTTTTTTAAATAATTAATCTACTAGTTTAAATCCACCATCAGGAAAGGGGCGCAGACTAATAATAGTACACATCGGTAGTTCAAACGGTTTTGTTAAAGGTGGTTTATTGACTTTTGAATCTACTCGTACCGGTGACTACCATGAGGACATGAATGCTGATGTCTTTAAAGAGTGGTTCGAACAAATTATAGATCTTCTTCCTCAAAACTGTATAATAGTAATGGATAATGCAAGTTATACTCGAGACTTATAGAAAAAATGCCCACAACCAAGTGGTTAAAAAAAGATTTACAGAATTGGCTAAATTCAAAGAATATTAAGTTCCATCCCGGTTCTGTGAGAAAAGAACTGTATCATTTGTGTTCCCTTCATAAAGAGAAATTAAAAAAATATGAAATTGCAAAAAATCGTGGGATGACGGTGGTTAGATCACAACCATATCATTGCGAAGTAAACCCGATTGAACTGATATGGGCACAGATAAAGGGAGAAGTTTCAAGAAAAAATAATTCTTTTAAAACGAGTGATGTTAAACAGTTGTTTTTGGAGGCTGTAAATAATGTGAAGCCTGAAAACTGGGAAAAGGCAGTAAATCATACGATTAAAGAAGAAGAGAAAATGTGGAAGTTGGACAATATTACTGATGAAATGATCGAGCCACTTATTGTAAATATTGGTTGCGACAGTTCATCTTCTGATTTCGATTCTGATTTGGATTTGTAGGTAAGAAGTAGTTTTTATATTAAAATTATTATTTATGAACGTAACGTTGTTTAAAAGTCAAAGTTTAAACCCTTATACCTACATAACCCGTTTGACACAATGTTCTTAACATACCTTGTGGAAAAATAAAACATTTTAGAAAAAAATGCACTTTTTTACCTTCAGCTGTTTAGAAGTTATAAGCAGGTTAATTAGGTGAAAATATAAGTGTATACTCGAGGAATACCTTCAAAAAATATTTTAACTGTCTACTAAAATAAGTGGTACGCCTATGGATTACGAACGCTTTATTATTTTAATACTCTCTCATACATAAAAATAGACTATACTTGAAAAATTATTATCTATTATAATTATTCTAGTTTCATATGGAAGCGATTAATGAATAACAAAAAATTCAAGATTTAAAACCTACTAAATATAATTTTTATCTAACCTAATATTTTATACTGAAATTTTAAATAAATTCGGAACTTTTATTGACAATAATCGTATCCAATTTACTTATAAATCGATGCCAATTTCCATCGTCGTCTCTATTAGACATTCTTTTCCTTATCAATGTCTGACTATTATTGATATCAGGATTCTTATTTTCATCTATATCAATACTGTCATCATCGTTATCAATAGTGATAATATTTATATCGTTAATTTGTTCTTTATTAGAAATTACGCTAATCACACTTCCACTAGTAGAAGAATTGTTATCTGTTATGTCAACTATGTCAATTACTGTATCTGTAGAGTCTATAGAATCTTGAGTATACATCTGTGGAACTTTAATATTAGTATTAACAACATTATTTACTTTATATACTAAAATTTCATCATCTGAAATAATAGATCTAGTTTCTACATTATCAGAATCACTATCACTAGTATCATCTCTATATATTTGCCCCAAAGTCGTAGGCATATATTTTTCTTCTTCGATAATATCCTGACTAGAATCGCATCTATTAGAAAAAATCCTTTTTAAAATACCAAATTTAGTTTCATTCGTACTTCCTTTGTTTTTGATTATTTTTGATGAAGAAGGTTTGAAATTGTAAGTGAAGCGGTTGAGAGATAGAGTGCTGTCGTTTCTATTGATGGAATCTAAGAACTTACCAGTTTTGTTTGCGGTTTGACTAGCAACTACGGGACTAGCGGTTTCTATTTGTATTTGAGGGTTGGCTCTAATCGGGGGCGGGGGTGGGGGAGCTGCTTTCTTTTTACGTCCTAAAAGAAAAGAAAAAATGTGTTATTTATTTATATAACTCCATTTAAAAATGTAATTATTGTATTGGAATGTAGAGAATATACAGTGTGTGCCATAAAGTTGGATCTACCCAGACAGCACACCAAATCCTTTGGATATCTACTGAACATCCCAATATCCACTGAATGTCCAGTCCATGGTAGATATCTATTTTATATCCATGAAATGTAATTTATAGACATGCAAATGTCCATAAATAATAGTAATTAAATAGCAAATTATTAAAAAATTACGCCATTGTGGCTAATAGTACCGTTCAGATATTTAAAATTAATTTTTTTAAGGTGTATTCAATATCCCATGAACATCCACCAAATATATCAAAGTCTAGGCGCGAACGCAAACCATCGTGGATATCCACTAGATGTTATTTGATTCTGCTTACTAAGTATAGATGGCGATACCACTATCGCATCTACTCATGCTCGACCCGCCGTAATTGAGTTCGATCGAAATGTGTGTCCTAGTCACTCCATTAGAGACTGGAGTCGAGAATTTCCATTTATTGCTGAAGAGTCCTAATAAGGATGACTTTCTCCTTAGTGGGCAAAATCAAAGGCAGAGTGTTGAAAATATTTTGAGTGTTGAAAATATTTTTTTTCTCTGCTATTTTCTTTCGACGTTATTCAATAATCATTGGTTACTTATGAACCTTTACTAAAGATACCCATAAAATATTTTGCTAAATATCCGATTATCTTCTATATTCTGGGATATAGACGGACATTTGGTTGGATGTCCATATTGGATATATTGAATATCCACAAAATATATTCGGTGGATATCTCTGTGATTTCTTGTATTTTCTGGAAGATACCCATTACATATTTTGCTGAATATCCATTAGGATATCTTCTATATCCTGGATATAGACGGACATTTGGATATCCACATTAGATCCACGGAATATTTTTGATATCCTGTGGGTATATTGGATATTCACAAAAGATATTCTGCGGATATCTCTGGGATTTGGTGTGTTGTCTGGGTATATGTGATTTTTTAATAGTCGTAGGGCACTATTAACAAAAATTGTTATGGAATTGTTGTCTTCTCGTCCCTTTTAATCTTTTTAAGTAAATGCAAAATTGTCAATTACGGGGGCGTATAAAAAAGTCTGAATATCCCATCCAAAAATCCATATTTTGACATGAAATGTCATTAAAAATAAGTTTATTTAATAACTATTATTCATACTTAAATAAAAGCTATTTTTAAGCGATAACTTACTTTGATATGGGCTTTTAAATAAGCAGAGGTGATAAACAATGTGCATTAAGGAAGAAAAGAATTACAAAATTAACGATAAAAAATAAGTAAATTAGTAAAAGATGACCAACGTAAATATATAAGTTATGAACAAAATAAGTAAATAATGAATTATTAGTAAAGTTTGGCAAATATTTTTTATAAAAAAAATCTACCAATTAAAATTTATTATAATATTAACCACAATGGTATCAAGAAAAATATATACAGGGTGTCTGTAAAAGGGCTTTACAAAAACATACCATATATTCCTTAGACCAAAATAAGTCGATTTAAGTAAAATTACCTTAGTACAAAGTTGCTTCGTTTGGGCTCCAGAGGGCCTTGAAGTTACAATTTTTAAATCGTTTTTTCCATATAAATTCAAAACGGCATATGCGATTTTGCTGAAATTTGATATATTAGTAGAGTTTTATGTGGCAAAAAAAATGGTATTAAAATTTTGTCCGATAATAATACATAGGCGTAGAATTTGATTTTTTAAATAATTGCACCTTTAAAAATTCTACGCCAATGGAAGAAAAGAAGTTTGAGTATGAAATTTAGATTGCGCAACTCATTTACTTTAAAAAAGGTATTCTTGATAAGACTCGATTACTTTCATGGTTTTGACGAAATTTGCATTTTAGTAATTTTAGAACATAAACAATAATTATTAAAATAAAAACTTTGTCAAAACCATGAGAGTAAATCGAGTGTTATCAAGGGTACTTTTTTGTAGTAAATGAGTACCAAATCCAAATTTCATACTCAAACCCCTTTTCTGCCATTGGCGTAGAATTTTTAAAGGTGCAATTATTTAAAAAATCAAGTTCTACGCCTATGTATTATTATCGGACAAAATTTTATACGATGAAAAACATAAAAATGTACTTTTTTCATATCTTCTTCAACACCTCTAATCGAGACTTTTAACAAAAATACTCGATTCTTGCCATGTACGATTTTTTGAGGAATATTAATTATTTGCCTGTAATACGCATACAAATACATTTATTGTTGGTTTCCATAGTTTTATCTAAATAAAAATATTGTCAAGTTTTAATACCTAATCTCTTGTTAACGATTATAAGTGTTCTATCTGACTCAATAATTAAAAAAACAAATGCGTGGTTTATTAATATGGCTGTACAATACACCAATGCAGAATATACCGATATGATACTGACATTAGGATTTTGTGAAGGAAATGCTCGAGAGAGTGTCAGGGTGTACTATGAAAGGTTTCCAAATCGTCGTGTACCTAGCCACCCAACTTTTGCTGCTGTTGAGAGACGTCTTCGGGAGACCAGTTTCTTTGCACCCAACACTGTTGATAATCGAAGAGAACGTTTTGTAAGGATTCCTGAAGTTGAAGAAGACATTTTAGAACGTGTTGAAGAAGATCCAAAATTAAGCACCAGACGAATTGGAAGGGAACTAGGAGTAAGTAAAGATGTCGTTCATAAAGTGTTTAGAGAACAATTGCTATATCCATACCATAAGAAGCCAGTACAAGAATTATTAGTCCATGATCCTCAAATTCGTTTGGGTTTTTGTCGATTTGTTAATATGCAAAGAGAAAGAGATCCAAACTTTGTCAAGAAGGTCTCTTTACCGATGAAGCGGGTTTTACAAGAAGAGGTATAACTAATATCCATAATGAACATGTTTATGCCGTTGAAAATCCGCATGCAATAAAGGTAAACCACGAATTCAAAATTAATGTGTGGGCTGGAATAATTGGTAATTTCATTGTCGGTCCTGTCATACTTCCACGAAGATTAACTGGAGAAAATTATTTGGATTTTCTACAAAATACGTTGCCAGAATTGTTAGAAGATTTACCTCTCCAACTTCGGAGAGATATGTGGTTTATGCAAGATGGAGCTCCACCACATTTTTCTTTAAACGTTAAAAACCACTTGAATGAACAATATCCACACAAATGGATAGGCAGAGGTAATGACGCACCTGTAAACTGGCCACCACGTTCCCCAGACTTAACACCGATGGATTACTTTTTATGGGGACATCTGAAATCCACAGTTTACAGGGAATCTGTAGAAAATGAGGAACAACTCTGGCAACGTATTCAAGATGCAATAAACAATCTTAGAGGTGATGAAGAAGTTATGGAAAGGATACATTTTAATTTTCTTCCACATATAAATCTTTGTATGCGTGAAAATGGTGAACATTTTGAACAATTTTTGTAAAATCTCTGTTGTGATTATGTTGTAAATAAATATTTTTGTGAAACCTATACACTCTAAATTATTAAAACAGAAATTTAGCGAAAACCATGAGAGTAATCGAGTCTTATCAAGAGTACCTTTTTTAAAGTAAACTCCTTTTCTTCCATTGGCGTCGAATTTTTAAAGGTGCAATTATTTAAAAAATCAAGTTCTACGCCTATGTATTATTATCGGACAAAATTTTAATACCATTTTTTTGCCACATAAAACTCTACCAATATACCAAATTTCAGCAAAATCGCATATGTCGTTTTAAATTTATATGGGAAAAACGATTCAAAAATTGTAACTTCAAGGCCTTCTGGAGCCCAAACGAAGCAACTTTGTACTAAGGTAATTTTACTTAAATCGACTTATTTTGGTCTAAGAAATATGTGGTATGTTTTTGTAAAGACCTTTTACAGACACCCTGTATATAATACACAAAATTTTTAAATTCAAGTTAAAAACATAAAAAATGTATCTATATCTATTACATGTTTAAATTTTAATGATTTGGCACACATATTTTCTTGAAGAATTATACAAAAGAAAGTGAATAGATTATTAATGTCAATATTGTCTTTGTGATAATGCTAACGTTATTTTATATGCTACTTTCATACTGTTCCTTTTGTAATGTTAATTTTTTAATTCGAGAGGGGAAACAGGGGGAGGGCAAAATCCCCGGGGCCCGGCAGCTTTAGCAGCTGAGACATTTTTGTTTTTTTCAAATTTAGCACACAAAGGACTTGATATTTATATAAATGCTCCGCTATTTTCCGCTAACAAAAATAGTCGACTATATAGGTCTTATTACTCTTAACAATATTTATTTCAACAGAACTATATCACTATTACTCCCTTTTCCGATAAGGTCCGTTATTTATACCACAAGTAGTACACCAAGATGTCCTCCTAGGCCGTACTTCAGCTATTCTAATTATTGGAATGATCATTATAATTTTTAACTATTCTTTATTAAGCCTTCTTCCAGGATAAGAGTCCCACTGAACAAAATAATACCTAACTACAGCAGAGTTTTTATACTCTTTGCTAAGTAGGGCAACGATTTTTCTCTTCCGATCTTCTTTAAAATCCTATCGTAATCTTGTTCTTCTCTAATTTTAGTAGGTGACCATTCATCCTTAACTACAGTTGTTCTTTAGCAGACGTGACCAACCCCTTTGCCATCAGAATTCCTCGGCCAAAGGTTTCATCATGACAGGTGTTTCTTCTTCCACAGTTCCATGTAGCCGCGCTTCTACCAGATACCATCGTATCTTCCTGTCTTTATAAATACCAAACAAATATTAATATTCTTAGATCCACTTGTCCTAAAAGATACGACGTTCTTGATCAATATTTCTGTATTTAGTACTTGGATATTTTAGAAATATTTTTTTAAAGCTTCCAAACTTTTACACTTTCAAAACTATTAAGTAGATAAAAATTATACGCTTGTATATTAAAAT